TTTCTGATGGAACTCGGCCCTGGCAGCCCATCTCCCTGGCCGGCCGCGCCCCTGGCCGGCCGCCCTGGCTCTGTTCGCCTGCTGGTCCGGGCCACCTTCTGTCTCCCAGCAGCATTGTCCCCTCCGCCTGGGCTGTGTGGCCGTTCTCTGCCCTCTCCCTCCCCCACCCCTGCCCTGGCTCCGGGGCCAGGGGCAGGTCTCAATTTTGCCAACTGCTGGCCTTGGTCTGACTGGGACTTTGGGAACCCCCTGGGCTGAAGAGCCACTGGAAGCTGGGTGGGGTCCAGCTTTCCCTCCCGGAGCCCCCACGTCCTGCTCACTCTCCCCCACCCCGGCCCACCCACCCAACGCTGGCTCCCCACACTGCCCCTTCTGCCCACGACATTGCCCCGGCTTGGCGCACAATGGGACAGAGCACAGGACACTGGCCCTTGGTGGCTCGGATGTGCCGTTGTCCTGTGTGCACAGCCGGGGCATCGGCCTTACACCCTTAGGTGTGGAGTCGGGGAGGCCGCTGCTTCTGCCGTCTCCGCTCCCAAAAGGCCGGGCCTCACTCGTCCCTGAGATGAGCTGAGAACTTGACTCTGACTATCGTGTGGTCTGTCCTAAGCATTGTGGTGCTGGGCCTTAACGAGTGTCAGCCCCACGCCCCCCTCGTCCGCAGGGGAGGGAACTGAGGCCAGGCAGGCTCAGCCCCGGTGAACGGCACAGCAGCAGCCGCTGCACCGGGCGTCTGGGAGCCGGGGCCGCTGACCCTGGTGGGCGGGACGGTGCTCCCAGCTTGGCTGGCTGTTCCTATAGAAATGGAGCGCTCACTCCTCCGTGAGCCCCACGGCCCCGCCATCTGCCCCAGCGGCCGTCTGGAATTTGACCCTGTGTGGTGGCTGCCAGGGGGCCCCCAGCAGCAGCCGTGTGCTACCCTCTGCACGGGCTGGTGCCACCCTGGAGAGCGGGAGAGACGGAGCCCTGGGGGAGGCACCTGCCCCTGTGCCGCGCCCGCCCCGCCGTGCCAGGCACCTGCTGCCGTTCCACCGTGACTCACTCCTTCGGGCTCAGAATTTGGATGCTGAAGGCCTTGGGAGACCCGGGCCCAACCTGGAGGGCGGGTGGGTGGGTGATCCCCGCCAGGTGTCAGCTTAGTGACTCGGCAGCTGGGAGAGCGAGACGCGCAGAGGAGGGGTGACGCAGCGGGGTAGGGGCGAAGCAGCCTTTTCCAAGAAGGGACTCTGAGGGCAGTCCAGGATGGGGTCCCCCGGGGAGATGGGGCTGAGCTGTGGGGTCAGAAGCCCTGAGCCCCCCTTGCTGTCTGCCCTTGGGCCAGTGGCACAGCCTCTGTGGCTTGTGAGCCTGTCAGCCCGCCTGTCCTCTGACTCCAAGTCCCATGGGTGCTGTGAACTCCTGGACCCGTGTGGGCGCATGCATAGTTAGGGAGGTGCGAGGGGGCCTGGTAGTGCAGGGTGGGAACGGCTGAGCCCAAGGCTCCTGCCGGATGTGGCTGGGCCCCCACGCGGACCTTGGCCCAGGGCCCTCCGGGCTGCCTGTCGGAAGCATTTCAGGCTGGGCCACCCTCATTCCAGCCGTTCCCAGCCTCTCTGCGCTCGAGGTCAGTGGGTCAGGCCCGAGCAGGGGGCCCCGCCCCTGTTGTTCCTCTTCTGTTGACAACAACCCCCCCTACCCCGCATGCCACCTCTCAGGCTGCCCTCCCGTGTCTCAGACGTCCCAGGTATGGGCACAGAGGGGACCAGAGGGTGACAGCTCCCACAGTGAGTCAGGAGAGGAATGGCATGCCGCTGGTCAGGCCTGCTGTGGGGACACCGCCCTGCGGAAGTCCACACGTGCCACAGCACTCGGTGGCTGGAGCAGGGCTGGGGGGTAGAACTCCCAAAGGAACCAGGTCTGATTCTTCCTGTGGGGACCAGAGCCCCTGGGCTCCCCTGGCAGGGGGCTGGGGGCGTGCGCTGTGTCAGAGCGAGGCTGCCCCGCAGTCCTGCGGTCCTGTGACCCTCACACTGGCCGGGGCGAGGAGGTGGGGCCTGGGCCCGTGGAGTCCAGCTTTGGATGGAGCGGCCTGCGGGTGCTGTTTCCCGGCCCAGCAGAGCGAGGACTGGCTGGGAATCACATGGTGTCGGGTGGAGGCGGGGGTGGGGGTTGTCTTGTGCCTGGCCTGCCTCTGGGGCTGTGTCCTCCCTGTGTGCCCCTAGCCCCCTCCCCTGCCCAAACCCCTGGTTATTCTGGGAGCTTTTAGCTACCACTTAGTCAGCCACTAATGCGTCAGGCCCGGGAGTCGGGGGGTGGGGGGTGCGCAGTGCCAGACGGTGCTCCTTTTAGATGCCCGGGATGGGAGGGGGAGCCGGGAGGAGGGGGCACTTCCTCTCAGCCGGCAGGGGACACTGATGGGCAAGAGTCGCAGTGTCCTTGGGCTGCGCTTCCCCCGCCCCCATGTGCTGGGAGCCCCTGCCCGCCGTCCCAGTTTTTCTGGTTGGGACGCGCGGCCTCTTGTCATCTGCACCTGCCCAGCCGTCTTTGGCCTGCAGCTTCCCCGCCTCGCTCAGGAGTTCTCTGCTTGGCCGGTCTGGCTGTCATCTGCCTGTCCCGTGCCTCCGATTCACAGGGCCGTGAAGCAAGTGTTTAGGCTTGGGGCAGGGCCCTGGCTCAGCCCCTGCCCGGGCACAGCCTCGAGGGCTGCCCTCTCCCGGCCCAGCTCGCTCCGTGTTGGTCCACGACGGCTCGGTGCTGCCTGCACTTCCAGGCAGCCCTCCTGCCCCTGAGCCCCCAGCCCCCGCTCCTGCTGCCCCGCACAAAGCGTCTTTTCATGCATTCATCGGGCACTGCGGCCCCGACACTTCCCGGCACAATTGGGCCCTTTGAGGGCCCCCGGCAGAGCGGGAACCGGGCTGGGGCTCGGATGGAGGCCGGGCCAAGGGCTTGTCCTGGGGCCGAGCTGGTGCCGTCCCCTCACCCCGTGCACGTCACCAGGCATGGGGGGGGGGGGGCGGCAGGGGTCAAGGGAGGTGAGGGTCTTGGGCTCCGACTGCCCTTCTGCACTTCCTGCCTGCCCTACCCTGGCTGTGGGGCCGGGCCTGGCACGGCAGCCCTCACCTTCCCTGCGTGTCCTTGGCAGGTTTTGTGAGCGGCCCTGGGGTCTGCAGGAAGGTGCTGTGTGTGCTGTGGGCTGGCCGGGTAGGGCCAGGTCTCCCCCTCAGACCTCACCCTCCAGAGCCAGGCTGTGTCTGCTTCGTCAGACTCGATGGCCCGGGCAGGACTGAGCTTCCGCCATCAGACTCGACTGCCCAGGGCAGAGCTGCGTCTCCCCCATCAGATAGTCCTGCAGCCTCCCGACAAGAACCTCTGGCTCCTGCCCGCTTCCGCCGGAGCAGTCGTGTGTTGGCCCTTTGAGCCCCACCGAGGTCTTGGTGCAGGTGTGGGGGTGGACATGACGGCTGCCGGCGGCCAGAGGGCTCCTCTCCAGGGCCTTCCAGGGGCCGTGGGTCTCGGGCCCCAGCCCAGCATTTCCGATGCAGACGGTGCCTCCTGGCTGCTGGGCCGCGGGGCGGGGGGGGACTGGGAGGGGAGCTGGGGCCGCACAGGCTGGATGCGGCACAGGCTGTGCGGGTGAAAGGGGAGCCGCGGGCGCTGAGTCAGCCGTCTGCAGGCTGCACTGCTGACCCCAGCAGCAGGGGCGGGAGCAGGGCGGCACCTGAGCCCCGCCAGCCCTGCCAGGGCCCCCGGCCAGCAGCCGCACAGATCACAGTGCCTTGTCCATCTGAGGCAGTCGGGGCGGTCACCTCGGGCTCCAGGGAAGGCTGACCGTCCCAGAGCAGCCTGTGGTCAGCCCTGTTTGCAGCGCAACCCTGGGGAGCCAGGCCAGCTCGGGGCCATGAACCCAGCACTCCTCTGTGTGGCCAACTGTGCAAACATCTCCCCAGATGTCGGAGAACCGACGCCGGCTGGTCAGGTCCATCTGTCCTGTCTGCCAGTGTGACCTTGGGCTGGACACGTCCCGGGCTTGTGTCTCAGTCTCTTCCTGTGCCCAGCGAGTCGCGCTGTGGCAGAGAGGAGAGGAAACAGCCCCACCTTTGGGGTGACTGCCACGGGGTGGGGGCGTCCAGTGCAGTCCGGCTGCCCTCGGCCCCGCTGAGTGCAGCGTCCAGCCCCCGTGGCAGGAGGCACCTGGGGCTGACCTGAGGAGCGGCCACTCCTCCCTGCGTGGGTGATGCCGCCACGCTGGCCGCCCCGGGCTTCGCTGTGGCTGCGGACGCCGTGGTCAGAGGAGTTCCGGGCCGAGGCCCCGGGCTGGGCTGATCGCGGCCACAGCCGCCCCATCCCTGTAATTTGGCCTTGCGACTGGACGACCTTAGCATTGGCACCGGAGATGACACATCTGTTCCCCCGGGGGTGGTGGCGACTTTGTGTTCCGGGCTCAGTTGTCCCAGTCTGATGAAAGCCCTGTGCATCGGCCCCTGTCCCAGCGTTGTGGGGGAGGCAGAGCCGTTCAGCCCCAGGAGAGCTGGTGTCTCTGTGGCTGAACCCAGCCACCATGTCCCATCCCGGGCAGGGCTGGGAGCCTGCTGCTAACCTGCTTCCGTGTGCCCTGGGCTGTGTCCCCCGGCCTCTGTCTTCCCACCCATGAAATGGGAGGGAGTGGGTGTTCAGATTCCTTCACGGCTGTGACCTAGCGCCAACTCAGGGGTGGAGGTGGGATGGGGGGGGGGACTGGGGTCTGAACAGAGTGCATCCTGGGAACCTGGACTCCAGCTGGGTGCTCGGAGGCCCTGCTGGCTGCGGAATGGCGCAGGTTGCGATGGCCGCTTCCTGCATCTCTGGACTTGGTCTGAGGCCCTTCTGGATGGGGGGGCGCTGAGCCTGGACCCGGCAGTGCCCCTACTTCTGCCCGTGGCTCTCTGTGGCCCTGAGCACCAAGCACTAGCTGCCAGGCGGTGGCCGGATGCATCTTCCTCTGGGCTCCGCCTCAATGCTTCTACCCCTTGCCTCCTTCCCAGGCCGGACGGGACAGGACAGAGTGGACTTCGGCCAGGCTGAGCCGCACACGGTGCTCTTCCATGAGCCGGGCAGCTCCTCAGTATGGGTGGGCGGACGCGGCAAAGTCTACCGCTTCGACTTCCGGGAGGGCAAGGACGCCTCCGTGCACACGGTGAGCCCTGGCCTCGGGCCTCTCTCCCCACCTCCCGGCTCTCCTGTCGCCCCCTGGCCCTGGCCAGGGCCTCGGGGAGAGAGGGAGGAAGTTCCCGGACGAGACCCCCACCTCCCTACCCCACGGTGGCTCCAGGGAAGGCTCCCCGCGAGGTCAGTCAGGTGTGGAGAAAACCGGAAGCCCACCCAGCCCTGGCGGGTGTAGGAGCCGGGCTGCACAGCCCGTGTCAGCCGGGGGCCTGTCCCGAGGGGGCGTCCTGCCCCTAGCTGAGTGGTCTGATGCCTCCCCTCCCCTCCCCCAGGTGAACATCAGCTCCTCAAGGACGTCCTGTCTGGACAAGTGGGTGAGTGGGGGAGGGGGCGCGAGGCCCCTGGGCAAGGGGAGCAGACCCTGGAAGCCCCAGGCGGGCGGGTGGGGTGGGGGGGCAGAGGCAGCCCTTGCCTGCCCTGGGGACTCCTCCTGAGCTGTCGGGGGCTGGGCCTGCCAGGGCCGCCCCTCCCAGCGTCTGTGTCCCCCCCACCCCCCCAGGACTGCGAGAACTACATCACGCTGCTGGAGCGGCGAGGAGAGGCGCTGTTGGTGTGCGGCACCAACGCCCGGCGCCCCAGCTGCTGGAACCTGGTGAGGAGGCCCCGCCCCCGGCCGGACCCAGGCCCCGCCCCCGGCCGGACCCAGGCCCCGCCCCGCTGCAGCCTCCGCGTGGGGACCCCGAGGCTGCAGAATTCCCCCGAGGATGGGGCCCCTGGCGGGACACTGGCGCTGATGTGGGCGGCAGGGGTGGGGTCGCCCGGCCCCCTGACCCCCGCCCCCGCTCTCCGCAGGTGAACAGTTCAGTGGTGCCGCTCGGCGAGATGAGAGGCTACGCCCCCTTCAGTCCCGATGAGAACTCCCTGGTTCTGTTTGAAGGTGGGTGGGCCCCCCGCGGGCCCTGGGAGGGAGGCCGGGAGCGGTGCGGCGCCCCTTGCCTCACCCGCGCCCCCCGCCCGCCCCCAGGGGACGAGGTGTACTCCACAATCCGGAAGCAGGAATACAACGGGAAGATCCCGCGGTTCCGCCGCATCCGGGGGGAGAGCGAGCTGTACACCAGCGACACCGTCATGCAGAGTGAGTGAGGGTGGACACCCACCGCGGGCAGCAGCCGGGGTCCTGGTGTGCCCCTGGGGCCTCCGGGGGCAGCCTGCACGCCGGTGCCGGACCCAGCTCCCTGGGTCCCAGGGAGCCCCAGACCTGGCACGGGGTCCCCGAGAGCCAGAGTATCCCCCCAGGTGAGGTCATGTTGGGGCAGCCCTCCTCTTCCTCCTCATTATGGCTCTGCCAATTAGGCAGAAGTGACACGGGGGCCCCAGGGGCCTTCCGGTCTCCAGGCATGAAGTCATTGCTCCTGGGGCGCTGGCGTCAGTGGTGCAGAGGGAGGGCGCGGCAGGGGTGGGGGTGCAGAGTGAGTGCCCCTTGGGGTGTTAGGCCTGGTGCTTGGGGTTTGTTTCACACCCTGGGCCTGTGCCGGCCCGAGTGGGCGTGGGCAGGGCCCCCAGCCTCACGCCCGCCCGCCTGCGTCCCTGGCAGACCCGCAGTTCATCAAAGCCACCGTCGTGCACCAGGACCAGGCCTACGACGACAAGATCTACTACTTCTTCCGGGAGGACAACCCCGACAAGAACCCCGAGGCCCCGCTCAACGTGTCCCGCGTGGCCCAGCTGTGCAGGGTGAGCGGGCGGGGCGTGGAGCGCGAGTGCGTGTGTGAGGGTGCATTGTGAACATGTGTGAACGTGTGTGTGAGTGTGCATGTGTGAACATGTGTGACTTGTGTACATGTGTGAACATGCGTGTGACTAGAGTGTGACTGTGCATGTGTGAACATGTGTGAACGTGTGTGTGAGTGTGCATGTGTGAACATGTGTGACTTGTGTACATGTGTTAACATGCGTGTGACTAGAGTGTGTGACTGTGTGCATGTGTGAACATGCGTGTGACTAGAGTGTAGAGTGACTGTGCATGTGTGAACATGTGTGTGACTAGAGTGTGTGACTGTGTGTGCATGTGTGAACATGTGTGTGACTAGAGTGTGAGTGTAACTGCATGTGTGAACATGTGTGTGACTAGAGTGTGAGTATGGCTGTGCATGTGTGAACATGCATGTGACTAGAGTGTGTGTGCATGTGTATGTGTGTGACTGGAGTGTGAGCAGTGTGTGTATGTGAGTGTGCATGGGACAGTGGTGGAGCGTGTGCATGCGTGCACACGTGTGCACCTGTGTTTACATGTACGGAGTATGGGTGTGTGTGACAGTGTTTACAGTGTGAAGTGTGTGTGCATGTGCACATGTGAGAGCAGTGTGTGACGTGCGCTGGGAGTGTGTGAGTGGACAGACGTGAGCCTGAGCCCGTCTGCTGTGTGGGAACGCGGCGCCCTCGGCTCTGTGCCCTGGGCCAGCCGGTCTGCACCCTGGCTGAGGTCCTGGGGCACCTCGGCTTCACCCCGCCCCCTAGCCAGCCCTCCTCCCAGGTCGTGTGGTGCTGGCGTGGCGGGCAGGGACTGAGGGCCTCCTGTCCCCCGGCGCGGCAGGGCGACCAGGGCGGCGAGAGCTCGCTGTCCGTCTCCAAGTGGAACACCTTCCTGAAGGCCATGCTGGTGTGCAGCGACGCCGCCACCAACAAGAACTTCAACCGGCTGCAGGACGTCTTCCTGCTGCCCGACCCCAGCGGCCAGTGGAGGGACACCAGGGTCTACGGGGTTTTCTCCAACCCCTGGTGAGTGACCTTGAACGAGCAGAAACTGCGGGCTCCAGGGTCAAGGTGTTGCGAGGGCGGGGCGTGGAGTGGTGTGTGCCGTCACGTGTGGGAGCATGTGCGTGGCCTGCATCTGCGTGTCCCGCTGCCTGTGCGTGCTCAGATGGGTGCTGGGCCCTGGGTGCCGGCTGCTGTCACACCCGCCTGCCGGCGCCTGATAATTCACACTTCTTAATCACTCTCAT